CGATGGCTAAGTTAGCACTCTGATAGCAAGGAGTTTGAAGATGATATTAGAGAATGAGAGAGCTAGAGAGCAGGGGTTACCATCCTTTTTCCTCCCTCTCCCCTCTGGGGGGGTGAGGTCTTTATATATTGGAGTTCTCGTGGGTTAGTGTAACGGTCACTAGATCCCTGCTGTGATGGGACCTGTTGCGTATTAGGTTGGTGAAAAGCCTTCAAACAATAAGACTCGTCAAAACCAGGGTACGGTGGTGAGCTCCTCGAGGTTGTCAGGCTGGCACCTGTGTTAGGCGGCCAGGTTGGCGCCTGGGCCAGGTTGTCAGGTTGGCGCCTATGTCATGCGGCCACGTCGGCGCCTGGGCCAGGTTGCTAGGTCGGCGCATGTGTCAGGCGACGGGTCAATGTTTGGGCCAGGTTGTCAGGTTGGCGCCTGTTAGGCCGCCAAGTCGGTGCCTGGGTCAGGCTGTTAGCTCGTGCTAGGGCCAGCTCGTGCCAGGGTCAGGCCGCGCCTGTGCCAGGCTAAGGATGAGCTGCCTATGGCGAGCTACCTGTGGCGAGCTACCTGTGGCGAGTTGCCTGTGACTAGCTCGAGCTGTCTAGTTGTCAAGAGGCTGCACATTTGGCATGAGGTGCCAGGTGTCACAATTTCACTGGAGGACCAAATCCGCCCTCATCACCACGGTTTTTAAAAACGAACCAGTGACTGAATCGGTTAGGGGTCCGGTTACCGATTTGAACGGTCCGACCATTTGACCCAAATGGTCGGCCCGTTCTGACAAAAAAAATAAAAAATTGAAAAATGGTCAAAACCGATCGAACGGTTAACTGGTCGGTTCAGCGGTTTGCTGACCAAAATCAACGGTTTTAGAGGAAAAACGGTTTTGGAGGAAAACGAAACCGGTCAAGTGACCGGTTCCCGGTTTTTCCGGTCCGGTTTGGTTTTGAAAAGAGTGATTTATAATGTCCTTCGCTATCATTGGCAACTGTTAATTGATTGGCATAATCCGTTCTTTGCCGCTCACCAGTTAGTATTTCAGTACCCATTTTAGAAAAGGGCAAAATGGGTATTTAGAAAAATAGTAATTGGTTAAACATTTTCCGTTCTGGTGAATGACGGAAGGGAGGTTTTTATATTTTATCCTAAAACTATTGATGCAATTTAGAGATGGCAATTTGACTCACCTCCAACTCACCCCGCCTGATCAAGGTGGTTTTTTTACCATTGTTTTGGTTCGGTATGAGTTTCCAAAACTATGATGACAAAGGATGCGGTAGAGTATTTGAATTCGAGGTCAGGGATGAGGTATAAAAACCTAATCCTAGCTCACCCCGTTGCCATTCCTAGTGCAATCTTATCCCCTCTCATCCAAAAAATAAATAAATAAAAATTGTGATACAATTTGGGAAGATTGGATGTATTGAAAATCAACCCAGGTCCAATCTTAAGGGTCAAGCCCAAGCCAAACCTAACCCAATACAATTGGGATCGATTGGGCTAAGGCTGGCTTAATTAGGCATGAAAGGTTTTGAAAACGCATTTTGCATATTCATCTTTTGTTAGTAGTAGAACAGATTAAAAGCATACACAAATGCAATCAATAAATGCATACACATAGTTGGAAAAAGACATTCATATATGAATAATATTCATAATATGTACATATGTCCTTTTTCTTATGCCATTTAGGCAAAATTCATTAAAAAAAATGCTCAGATTACATCATAAATAAGTGTGTGATAATTCTATACGTAATATACTATCAACTAAGTTCAAACTTGGGTTGATTCAGACGAACTACTCAAGATCTGAACCCATGCCCAATTACAATCCCCGAATCCATGAGAAAGCTTAAGTTCGGCCTGCTCAGCTTTTTTTTTTCTTTTTTGCTATATGGGCCTGCTCAACTTACAGCCCTACTAGACCCAAAAAGTGTGAAAAGTTGTTGATATTTCTATGCTTATTTTTGCTCCATCTATGCCAAAATCTGACCATTGTCGATCCAAAAGGGCATCATGGCTTTTGGCTGCTTCCAAAGTCAAGTAGGAAATAAACCCTCTTAAGGGGTAATAAATCAAGGAGAATCGCTTAAATCCAAACATACTTTATTTAAACAAGTCAACATAGAGAGAAAAAGAACACATGCAAGCATGATGTTAATAATGAATATAGATTAGAAATAAATTAGTTGGGTTTGGATGGAGGCTGTTAGGAGGATGGCCTTTCCTTACATTAATAACACTTATTTTTAGCTCATTTGGCCTCTACATGGCAAGACCAACATCATTTGGTACCGCTCGTCGGGAATATCTCTCAATCTCTCATATTTATGTATTCTCATTAGACCTATTAATGGGTTGGGTCCAGATCGGGCTTTGTATATGCATCAATAGAATGCATTCTGGCTCGAGTCCGAGTTCAGCCCGATCATTGGGCCTATGTCTTGAGTCCGGGCCTGGCTTTCATATAAAGCCTGAAACCCAGAATCGAGTCTGGTCAAAATTTTTATTCAATAAAAAGTATTTTATTTACATTAAAAATCTTCAAAACTCAAAAATAATAAACATCTCGCTATTATTTGGAAAAAAAAAAGAAGAAGAACAAAGAAAAAATATTATATATATATTTTTATTATTTAATATATAGTATTAAATCGGGCTTAGGCTCGGGCTGGGCTTTTTTGAGAAAGCTCAAACATATCTCGAAAAACAGTTGGGCCTGGTGTTTTATGCCCAAATTCAAACCCATGGGCCTAAAATTATGACCAAGCCCAACTTATAACAGGCTGGGCTGGGCCAACCCGTTGAGTTACCCGGCCCATGAACATATCTAACTGTCATTCATGGGAGATATTTTCAATGCACGACTGCAAAGTCCTGTGAGATTGGTGTGAGGCTTTCTCTATGGAGTTTAGATTGGTGCCCCATAGAGTGCACTTCACATGCACATAGAAAACATCTCCGCCTCTCCGATACTTATCATGGAGAGATGTTCCTAACATATGGGGCACCCATGGGACTTCGGCTCTATCAGGAGAAAATTCCTACATACCACCATGATTTACTTTATTTATAATTCTGACCAAACTCTTTTAAGCTCTTGCTTCCTTCCTACTCCCTCACTGTTACTTCTTAGGTGGGGCTCAATGGGGTTGGAGGGGTTGGTGGAAGCTACCAACTGAGGGTTGGCTCGTGGTTAGTTGGTTTGTTTCAGCATTGATGCAGAACCGAACCTTGCAATTAGCACTTTAAGTTATGTTTGATTTGAAGAAAAAAGTAGGGAAAAAAAAGAAAAAGTAGAAAAAAATGTATATAAGATTTGTAAAAGTTTTTTTACTTTTCTCTACTCTTTCATTTAAACCAAACACTGCCTTAAGGAAAAAAAAGGGATGAAGAGAAAGTTATCAATGATGCACGACACTGAATACCAAAAAAAAGAATTAAAAATTTAGAATGAATATATTAATGTTTTGTATACATGAATGTTCATCTAATATGTACTTAAATACTTGTGTATTCACTCTATATAGTTTTACACATACAGTGTAGCCAACAACAGATTCGGAGTGGGTTGGTGGGTGTTCATCTTGGTAGACGTGTCAAAACAAAACATTTAATTGTGTTCAAAAAACGCATACTTTGACTCTTGTACTTTAATTGTTTGTGAACTCACTAGAAGACACTATTGTCAATTATCATATTTTCCTAATGATTTATCATTTAATTTAATAAAGTAGAAACTACAATTGCACAAAAATATCAATTAATAAGTAGAAGGAATTAAAGGGCTATGAACAAAAAACAGGACATTAGTCAAAGTAATAAGAATTGAATTAAGCATTCATACTTTGATAATGGAATATGTATGGGTGCAACTTGGGTCGAATTGGTTAAAATTTTAGTGCATCCAAACTCTTAATGCAGTTGAAATTCTTCAAAGTTGGCAATTCGACCAAAAGATGTATAATGGCAAAACAAGATTCCTATAATTATGATAAAGCTTAGATGATGATGATGATGATGATAATAATAATAATGAAGATGATGATTATGAATTTGAGTTGTATATGAACTCCATTAGTTGACCAATCAATACATTTATTCGCTTCAGGATGATAGTGAGACAGAACCACATTTTGGAGAGATTTATTTGAAAGAAGTATAAATACAAATATGTACAATACAAATACATATAAACCTTACTTTTGAATAGACACTCAGTCTGCCATTTATCATTTTGTCTTTGAGGGAGAGCTGAATTGCGATTCTTTGGTTGCAAGTAATAACCAAACACCCACGTCTTCTATTATTGTGAAACCCATCTTAGAAATTTTAATTCCATCCAATAATTTAAAACTTCCAATACTAATACCCTTTGTACAAAACCATCTTCAATTCACAGCCCTTTCAACTGTTTATTAGGAATATCTCTCCATCAATAAAACCATAAGCATAGTAAGATGTTTCTTAGGGTTTTGTGAGGATTAAATCCAAATTTAAGATGAAGAATTTGTTAGGTGGGGGTGAGTGTGTCCCTTGTTATTAAGCCCTATACTATCGTATAAATCATGTGCATGGCGCATAAAATGGCTGCAGAACCCAGAAATTGACTTTCCTTCAGTTTTGGCCCAATGGTCCCCCCATTTTGGGCCTTACTATCGCAACAGATATTAGATCAGATCAGACCAGATCCATTCAGTTCATATCCATTTTTGGACCTCATCTGCTGGCTTTCAGCCTAACAGCCTTTCGCCTGCTAAAATGGAAGGCGAGCATTTCCCACCCATACTTAACGGTCGAGATGTCTACTCTACAAATCTAACGGTCAGATCTTTATTCCCCTCGTGCGTAATCCGAAAGGATTTAAGATTTGTTGTTTCTCTCTCTCTCCTGTAGTCCTGTCAGCTCCAACAAACCAACGAGAGACGGAGAACAAATAGACCTCTCTTCTTCTTCTCCTCAACAGTAGCTGGACTGGACTTGTTCCTTCTTCATCCACCAACCCAAAACAATGGCCTCCTCGTCATCCCTCACGATCTCTCAGGCCCTCGTTGGTCGCACCAGAACCCACAACGGCTCCACCACTACTCACTCCGACCATCTCGCCCTCCCTGGGTTCAGTCTCAGCACCCTCGCCGGCCGGGGCATCAAATTGTCTTCTCCGTCTCTGTGTCCCGCTGGCTCTCGCAAGCGCGTAAACTCTCGATCCGCTGTCCGTGCGGCTGCGGTGGAGACTCTTGACAAGACGGAGACCAGTTTGGTGGAGAAGTCGATCAACACGATTCGGTTCCTTGCGATCGATGCCGTCGAGAAGGCCAATTCCGGGCATCCTGGTTTGCCCATGGGATGTGCTCCGATGGGTCATATCTTGTACGATGAGGTCATGAAGTACAACCCCAAGAATCCTTACTGGTTCAACCGTGACCGGTTCGTTCTCTCTGCTGGGCATGGCTGTATGCTTCAGTACGCTTTGCTTCATCTTGCTGGATACGACAGTGTTAAGGTGCGTCTGTTGATTGTTTTTTCCATTTGATTTTTGGGTTTGTTTTCATTTCTAGTCTGCTCTTTTCTACTTTGGAATTTAATAAACGCTATCACGCATTTCTTTTGTGGATCGTATAGGAGCTACTACTTCTGAATTTTGTTGTTCTTCTTTTTCCCTAAACAATCAGACTTATCTGCTTTTGCACCATTAGATTTGTGTTTTGGAAGATTAAAATGGAGCATTTTGGCTAACCCCCAACTGGAAAATGGGAGAGAAGAGAAATTAGTTAGCTTGATCATTTCTGATTGAAGATACCCGTATTTTGTTGTAGGAAGGATGGATGATTCCTTCATCTTTCATTTTATTCATGATAGAAGAACAGACCAAAAAAAGTTTTTTGCTTAGGAGATCAAACTTTTTGTTTGCTCAGATGATTTTGACTTTATTTTATCTTATTCTAGCGATACCCCTAAAATTGTTTTCTTAGGTTTTCCTTTTTGGTTGTGAACTCTAATGATATTGTTTATCTAAACTTTATCGTTGGAATTTTTTGTATTCAAAATCGATCTACTAGGAGGAAGACTTGAAGACTTTCCGTCAGTGGGGAAGCAAAACTCCTGGTCATCCTGAGAACTTTGAGACTCCTGGTGTTGAAGTTACTACTGGTTCGCCTCTATTCTTTAACACTAAATTCCTGTACTTGGAAAAATAGATCAAAAGCCTGAAAATTCATCTTCTTATTTTCTTTTGTCTTCATGTAGGGCCTCTCGGTCAGGGTATTGCCAATGCGGTTGGTTTAGCCCTTGCAGAGAAGAACTTGGCTGCTCGTTTCAACAAACCTGACTGCGAAATTGTGGATCACTACACGTAAGGACATCCTTAGTTTCATTGTTAGTGTTCTGTTTTTACCTGGATATGCAGAACTGCAGGGCCTCACTTATTTGATTTGTTCATATTTGTATTTCCTTAGATATGTTATACTGGGAGATGGTTGCCAAATGGAGGGGATTGCAAATGAAGCTTGTTCCCTTGCTGGGCATTGGGGACTTGGAAAGCTGATTGCCTTTTATGATGACAACCACATCTCCATTGATGGTGACACAGAGATTGCATTCACTGAGAGTGTTGACACCCGTTTTGAAGGTCTTGGGTGGCATGTGATTTGGGTGAAGAATGGTAACACTGGTTATGATGATATCCGTGCTGCCATCGAGGAAGCAAAGGCTGTCAAAGACAAGCCAACCTTGATCAAGGTAACATTCCCTAGCATATTCATATAAATGAGTTCACTTTGCTCCAAACTATCCTATTGTTTTGTTAATGTCTTGTGTCTATGCAGGTAACAACTACCATAGGTTATGGGTCTCCAAACAAGGCAAACTCATACAGTGTTCATGGAAGTGCACTGGGGGCCAAAGAAGTTGACGCCACAAGGAAGAACCTTGGGTGGCCATATGAACCTTTCCATGTGCCTGAAGATGTAAAGAAGTAAGAAAATTAAGACGGGATTCTCTCTCCCTAATCATGAAGAATAGCCTAACATGTAATGCTTAATGAGTTTGGTTGCTTGTATTTCACAGGCACTGGAGCCGCCATGTCCCAGAAGGTGCTGCACTTGAAGCTGAATGGAATGCCAAATTCGCAGAGTATGAGAAGAAGTACAAAGAGGAATCTGCAGAGTTGAAGACACTCATTTCTGGTGAACTGCCTACTGGTTGGGATAAGGCCCTTCCGGTATGTGGTATTTCCATCAGTTTGGCTACTATTCAATTACCCTTTGCTCATCTTATTTACACCCATTTAGTAATGAGATTATGTTTATAATGATCATTGTCATGACTGTTTGCTTGTTTGTTCCAGACTTACACTCCAGAGAGTGCTGCCGATGCCACCAGAAATCTGTCTCAACAATGCCTTAATGCACTTGCAAAGGTTCTCCCTGGGCTTCTTGGTGGTAGTGCAGATCTCGCTTCTTCCAACATGACTTTGCTGAAGATGTTTGGGGACTTCCAAAAGGACACACCTGAGGAGAGGAATGTCCGATTTGGTGTAAGAGAGCACGGCATGGGTGCCATCTGTAATGGGATTGCATTGCATAGCCCTGGCCTTATCCCTTACTGTGCAACCTTCTTTGTTTTCACAGATTACATGAGAGCAGCAATCAGGATCTCAGCCTTGTGTGAAGCGGGAGTTATCTATGTAATGACCCATGATTCAATTGGTCTTGGGGAGGATGGGCCCACACATCAGCCCATTGAGCATTTGGCAAGCTTCAGGGCCATGCCGAACATCTTGATGCTCCGCCCAGCTGATGGCAATGAGACTGCTGGTGCATACAAGGTTGCAGTTCTTAACAGGAAAAGACCCTCAATCCTAGCCCTCTCTCGGCAAAAGCTTCCCCAGCTTCCAGGGACATCCATTGAAGGAGTTGAGAAGGGAGGTTACATTATATCAGACAATTCTTCAGGTAACAAGCCAGATGTCATCTTGATTGGTACCGGTTCAGAATTAGAGATTGCTGCTAAGGCTGCTGATGAACTCCGGAAGGAAGGGAAAGCTGTCCGGGTTGTCTCTTTTGTCTCTTGGGAGCTATTTGATGAGCAGTCTGATGCATACAAGGAGAGTGTTCTGCCAGCTGCTGTTTCTGCCAGGGTTAGCATCGAGGCGGGATCAACATTCGGATGGGAAAAGATTGTGGGAAGCAAGGGGAAGGCAATTGGGATTGACCGTTTTGGAGCAAGTGCTCCTGCAGGAAGAATATACAAGGAATTCGGTATAACAGCAGAGGCTGTCATTGCTGCTGCTAAGGCAGTTTGCTAGGCTAGTTTAGTGGTGTTCCCTCTTCTTCTTCTTCAGTCTTCATTGGCATTTGGATTTAGGGTCTTGATTTCCCAAGTTTGAAAAATACATTAGATAAGAGACCAGTCTTGTGAAATTTTGAGTCTAAATGGCTTCTTTGGCAATAATAAAAAAGAGAAACTCTTTCCGGTGCCTCTTATATTTCCCCGGTGAAGAACCAGTCTCCAAATTGAATCAAGACTTGGAGAGAGTAAGGTAGGTGAAATGTCCATGGAACGTGTACTTTGAATTTTGTAATCTTTTCATGGGTACTTCCTATTGAACTTTGATTAATTCTTAGTAATTAAAAGAAAAATATAAATTGTGTTCTTTCTTTTGACAATTGATGCTTGTTAGAGTTTGATGATTTGCAAGCTTACGGCAATATGGAAGTTGCAGTTCACTAATGGAACCCGTAATCAATGAGTGTTCGAGCACGCTGATTTGAAGACCTTTAGAACAGGGAAATTTAATTTCTCATCTTCTTTTGGTTCTGTCCAAAAAGGGCTTCACATCTTACTTTTTTTGCCCATTTAAGAAAATATTTTTTGAAATTTCAGGGAATTGATGCCGACATCTTGAATTGATGAATGGTGGAAGAATGGGTGTCTAAGGAAGGCTGGAATTAGATTGGGTGGTGGATTCAAGCCATTCAGTAAGGCTAAGGCAACCTTAGTCATATAGTGAATGGGGTCCGCATATCGCATTCCTCCAAGCATGAAGCAACTCATATTTCATATGTGATAAGGTGCTTTTCTATCCTTTCAAAGGGAGTGGGACCAACCTTTAACCAGACAAGGTGAGGGAAGATTTTGATCCTTTGATGGGTGTGTGGTTAGTGAAGCTCCTGGTGTAAAATTGTGAACCACAATTTGTCTCACAAAACTGTCCCTATATAAAACTTAAAAATATATATATATATATATGAAAGTGAGAGTTAGACATAACGGACAGACTTTCTTTGTTCTTCCTACATCCCTCCTCTCTCTTCCTCTTCTGTTCAGCTTTTCATCCGAGTTGGTGATGTTCAAATCTACAGCAGCATCAAGGGTATTAAGATCATTGAAAACTTGAAGGGTCAACTGTGGTCCAATTAGAATGGATGATACCAAGTTCAAGTGAAGTGGAACTTAGGGGGAAAAGAAAAGAAGTGGGGACAATAGCAAGAGAGACCAAGAATGAAGAAATTGTAGAAACAGTTCTTCTAGCTGCTCAGAGGCAAGACATTGGGCAAATTAGCATTTTGATGATGCCATTTATGGTGAACCAAAGATTCAACATGTTTCTACAAAATCCAACTGATCTTTTTTATGTCTAAAGACTAAAAAACAAGCTTATAGAGTTTCAAAGGTTGACTGGTTGAGAGGGGGATCAATGTTCCACTCTTTCCTCCCTTGCCAGCCATATTGGCCAATAGCTTTGAGTGTTGAAGTTGTTTTGGCCAAGTTAAAAACAATACTCTTCTTATAATGTAGTTCTATTTATTTTGATCCTGCTATTAAAAAGAAAAATGGCAGAATTTCAATGGTGGCAAAGAAAAAATTCACGTGGGAGGAATATCTCTTTGACTTTATATTATATCATCAATATTTCAGATGTACAGCTGGGTCATGGGTGAACATTGTCAGGTTTTGTGGTCAATAAATCTGGATTCTGTCTTTAGGCTCAGTTTGGAAAGAATACAAATACAAATATAAATATGTATTTGTATTTTGTATGTATTTATACTATACTATTTGTACTCTTTTCAAATTATTCTTTTGGCTATGTTTGAAGGGAAATGTAGGAAAAGGAAGGGAAAGGTAGGGAAAGGTAGGGAAACGCTTACAACCCTTATATTGGTTTCACTGTCTTTCCCTTCCTTTCCCTATCTTTTCCTTCAAACCAAACATAGCCTCAAGGAATCGGCAAGACCTCTCCTTCACTCGATTGTAATGAGAGCTGCTATTAATGATGTATTAGACTATTAGGAGATGTTTTATGCACTATTTTGAAAACCAGACCAGACCTAACGGTCGGATCGTTTGACCTGCAGAGCCAGTCATGTCTCGGGGTCTGGTTTTCGATTGAACCACTTTTTTTGAAAAAAAAAATATTGAATTAGTTATGACCCGGGTGATCAACCGCTAAACCATTAGACATGGGCAACGGTTCACAGTTTAATAAAAAAGTATTTAATTTTTTAAGGAAGCAAAGAGGAGATTGAGAGATGGGGAGGGATTGAGACAATAATGATCTCAAAACTGAGATCACTGAGATCCCGGCGAAAGAGAGAGATCCAAAACGGTTGGGTATGACTTTGTGGTGTAGTACAAAAAAGGCCAACATAACATTGCAACTTATGCCTTATCGAGACATCTGGAAGATGGGCTCCATGCTATTTTCCAGCCCATTCCAGCATGGATTGAGGACTTGGAAGAAAGAAACAACCCACGATACTACCATGCAACAAATGATGCAAACTATTCTCAGTGGTAAGGGCCCAGGATCAAAGTATGAGGTGAGACATGGGATCATTTGGAGAAATGTCAAGATCATGCTCAGCCCAACATCCCAGTACAGGACTAAGCTCTTTGCAGAAGTCCATTCATCTCCCACTAGCGGTCGCTCAAGATATTATAATACTTTGCAATGTTTGAGAAGAGTAGTTTTTGGAAGGATTGCTGGAAGGAAATAAAAGGAGTGCATCGAAGTATACAACATTTTCCAAAGACATAAGATTGAGAATGTAGCCACTCCAAATAGGATTTGGACTGAGATATCAATAGATTTTGTGGAAGGCTTATTGATTTCAAACCACAAATCTGTGATACTAGTGGTTGTGGACCGATTATCTAAATATGGGCATTTTTTGCTCCTAAACCATCCATATTCGGCACAAGTCTTCTTAAAAGGTGTATTCAAGTTACATAACATGCCAACATCAATTGTGAGTGATTGTGATACCACTTTCACCAAGGTTTTTAAAAATATGCCGTTTTCCGGGTTGAACAGTCCAACCGTACAGTTCAATCTGACAAAAAATAATAAATAATAATAATGGCCAAAAATTATTATTCGGGTTGACAGTTTAATTGTCTGGGTCAATGGTTTGCTGCTAATCAAATCAATAATTTTTTACCAAAAAACAGTTTTGTGGTAACGATTTTCGATTTTTTCGATTCGACCATTTGATCCGATCCAATTTGAAAACCATGACTTTCACCATCCAATTTTGGAGAGAGAACTGTTTTGTCTACAAGGAGCCACCCTTTGCATGAATACGGGCTACCAGTCTACCACCCTCTAATGCATGGCTATACAGAAGTTCTGAACCATACCTTTGAAACATACCTCCGATGTTTTATCGTTACACACCCTTACTAGTGGACCAAGTGGCTTCCCTTGGCCAAGTAGTGGTATAACACCATCTACCATTTAACCACTAAGTCCACGTCATGCAAACGGGTTTATGGGATTGACCCACCCACACGTGTCATATATACCGAGTACAACCCATGTTCAGGTTATTGAAGATGAGCTCAAGGAGAGGGATCAAGTTCTTCCCAGACTTAGGCTGTGTTTGGTTGCAGTGCAAATTTATTTATACTAGTATAAATGTATAGGAATGCAAATATAAAAAATGTAAATTCTTATTTAATTTTGTTTTAGATTTTATTTTATTCTGCTTCATGTCTTAATTTATTTCATTTGTATTGCAATCAAACCAAATAAGCTAAAATTTAAAACAAAAATAAGTCAAAATTTACACTCAAATCATTTGTGCTGCCATGGTTTTGCATCTGTACAAATTTATTTGCATTGCAACCAAACATAGCCTTAAGGAATCTAGCTTTAACCAATGACCATTTTGAGAGATTAGTTGATAAACAGGACTAATAGACATTTTGAGGTGACTGATATGGTGTTCCTTCAGTTGCAACCGTATAGGCAAAGAGCAACATTGTCGCTCATAAGTCTCAGAAGCTTTCGGCCCATTTTTATGGGTCCTTCAAGGTGCTATACCAAATAGGCCTAATTTGCCTATAAGTTAGAACTTTCGACTGGGTGTCGTTTGCATCCTATTTTCCATGTGTCATGGCTCAAGACAAAGTTGGGAGCCCACTGTACCAACAACCCAACACTGCTTCCCTTGATTTTAGATGGTACCTCAAAACCTTATCCAACAGTTAGGGCTGTTCATAGATCGGATTGGGTCAGTTTATTAATTTTTTTCAACCAATTTAACCTAATCGGGTTATCTAAAGATTAAACCAAAATTGAATTAAGCAAAACCAACTTAGTCGGTTTAGGTTGATTTGGGTCAGTTTTGGCTTAAATATATACATTTCCGAAATATATATTTCAGCTTTAAATATATATATTTCGGACATATACATATTATATATAATATTTTCAGTGAGAATATATTTATTGGAAGTACATTTAAAACTGAAATATATATTTTGAAATATACATATTATATATAATATTTCAGTGAGAATACATTTATAGATAACTCGATTCGGTTTGATTTGGTTTCGATTTCGATTTTCATATATAAAAACTGAAACCGAACCGAATTATCAATTTACCCATATTTCTAACTCGAAACTGACTGATGATGAAGAAAAACCGATTAAATCGAATTGGGTCAGGCCGATTGGTCAGTTTGAATTTATTTGTGAATAGCCCTACCAACAGCTATATTGGGCTACCGAATAATGAAACAAGGTAATAAGACCGAAATAAAAGTTTTGATTCATTGGAAAGATACTTCTGGTAACGAATAAGTAGGCACAAAATAGAAAATATATTGACAACTATTAAAAATTATCATTAATCTCTTTTAAAGATAGATTAGGGGTATTTGAAGGGAGGTGAAACACAATTTGAAAGTGTTCATTTAACGTACTAAAAACGATGTACCTACTTGACCCAGACTCGGTGAGGACAAGGCTAGCTAATCCTAAGGGGTAGGTAGGACTGATACGAATCTCGAATGTTGAAACGGTGCAGCCTATTATCCAGCCATCATCCGTTGAACCGAACCGAGTGGTTACCACTCACGTGCATGCATGAACGACTTACGTCACCAAGATCGCTGTCGTTACAACTTCTCTAAGTATTGGTCATTATTTCTAATTATCTTTTGATTGTAACAGCCTTTAGGCTACCCTAAGTGTTGAAAAAGGGATCATGAACATTTTGAAACCCTAATAACCTTTGTATTACCCTAGTCTCTCAGTTGAGCAATGCCTATCACCAAGCTCACCGAGGAAAGAGGAAGCTTACTTTTTGTCTCCAAGAAGGGGAAGAAGTTGATAATAGATTACTTGAATACATTGTTCATGGCAGCTCCCTTTTACTCAAACATTGACCTTTTGATGGAATGCTTTCGGATTGGTTTCAGAGTAGAGAAGTAGCTTGAGTGGTTCTTAATCCAAGGTGGTAAAAATATAAATTTGTAGGACACACTATTATATTGGGTGGTTCGGTTAGCACGTAAAAACCCTATTTTGTTTAAAACAAATCCATCGAGCATTCTATCGCTGTAGGTTGAGGGATGAGCTTGAGAACTTCTCCCACCAACCCAAAAGGAAGAAAAAGGGTTAAGTGGGGACGTTGGGAGCATTCCACCACTGAAAAGAAGGAAGGAAATAGAAGGTTGTTGGATTGAATGAAAGCTCGCAACTCGCAAGTCGCAAGGTGAAGTTCTCAACAAGTAATACCAGTTCTGGTAGGGATCCGAATTCGAGTTTGCTACCAACCAGACGCTCCCAATATGTCAAAGTTCAGATTGGCACCCATAGGCCCCCCACATGCACATCTAACTGTGAATTGGGAACATCTCTCGTGCTTGACATTGGGAGAGATGTTTTCAATACACGGTTGGGTGTGATGTGGGGCATGTGTGGAACGGATGCAAATTCCAATATGTTCCAACCAGACACTCCCAATATGGGAGATGTTCCCAAGGGCTCAGATCTGCTACCCACAAGTTCCCACATCTTTATCCATGGGGAGATCGGCTTCAGTGATCACAAGACTGTACTCGCATCATTCACACAGGCTCTTACACCATGCATTGGGAATATCTTTGTACTTGTATATGTTTTTCGCTGGAAGATATTCCCAATGCAAGGCTGCAAAGATTGTGTGACTAGTGCAAGCACGGCCTAGTGAGCAATGAAGCCGATTTCACCCGTGGGACATTAGAATTGTGTATTTTGTCATTCATGGGGAGATGTTCCCAATACACAATAGTGTTGTTCTATGGGTAGGGATTAGACCTGTTCACGGGATGGGCTTTGGGCTGGCTTTACACTGTGTCGAGCTTGGGCTTCGAGCCGAACCCATTGAACTTTTGGCAAAAGCCAAGTTCGAGCCCAGCCCATGAATAGTTTCTAATAGGGATGTGAGAACAATTTGCAGGTAATAGATACAAAGTGCCCAAGATGTATGTTGTAATGAGTTGGGATCACCTACCAACAAAACACATTCTAACACTCTACCAACAAAATCTGATATCACATATCTCACTATGAGACTGGGACCCACCATGTATGAGATGTGTGGTGTCAGATCATGTTGGTAGAGTGTTGAAATGTATTTTGTTGGCAAGTAATCAATACTCGGTTACAATGGGTTATTTGTAGGCCTGCCAATGATACTTGAAAATTAGAGGTCTAATCGAGCATCCAATCCGATTATATTGGGTTTTGATGATGTGTTTATGTAATCAGATCAAGTTTGGATTTGATTCCATCTTATCTATTTCAAATTTGAATCCGATTATATTATAATATTTATTGCTTTTAATATATAAATTTTATATAATTATATTTAAAATTATAAAAATATATTTTTATATATTATATTTATATGAATTTATATACACTAAATTTTATATTTACATCAATTTATTACATATAAAAGTTGAAAATAACTAACTTCTTATTTTTTGTGTATATAAAAAAATTAAAGCGAATGCAAGTTTTCAATAAACGGGTCGAATTCATATTTTGCAGAAACTGATCCGAATCGGATCCCAGTTACGGCTCTAGTTATTGGAGCAATGTTGGAAGCGTTTTGTTGGTAGCAAACCCCTACCTCTGTTACTGCTAGGGGTCCAATTGTCCAAATTCGACCCAATTATAAACGGAAGGAATTCGCATCACCCTTAACAGTATCGGATTCGAATTCGGATGCCGGGTTGGTATATGGTAGGGATCCAAAGAATTCCATCTTAACGCGCGCACCTCCTATTCCCTCCCTTTCCTCGATCACCGTGAGTGGGAGTTGGTAAGTGAAAACTGAAAACTTGAAAATCCTCGGTTGACTCGAAAGCAAAACAAAGAAGCATCTATGTTTGTCTTCTCACTCTGAAACGTTTTGAACATAGAAGCAGCGATGGCACACGTTAGCAACATGGCTAAGGGCATTCAGAGCGGCATTTTCTATAGCAATCTCCCTAGGACGGAGAAACCCAGAGCTTCTCTATGCCGCATTTGGTTGGGATCAGAAACTAAAAGCTTGCCTTTTGGTGGTCGCAAGTATGGGAAGATTGCTGCAGGTTCCATTGTTTCTGTTAGGGTTCCTCTTAGGGTGTTTTCAGCTTCTGCATCTGTTATCACCTCTGAGAAGCCGTCATCGGCATCGGAGATAGTTTTGCGGCCTATCAAGGATATCTCCGGTACTGTCAAGCTCCCTTGTTCCAAGTCTTTGTCAAATCGAATTCTCCTCCTCGCCGCACTTTCGGAGGTAAACTTTAACTTCTCTATTGTTCTTTTTAGTATTTTTTAAATTCTCGTGAGGTTTATTCTTGAATCCGGCCCAATTGAATATTAATTGGGTTCTAGACAATTATGTTACTGAATTGGTTATCTTGGGATTTGGATGCTTAGATGTGAGTAGAAGTGTATAACACTTTAGAATTAGAAATATGCTTGCGAATTCGCATATCAAAGAAACTAATCTCGTAATCGTTTTTCATTTTCATTTTAAGGTGGATGAGATTGTGCAAATCATTTGATTGTTGTAAACTTTGTTTATTCAACAGAAGTACTCTTTTACTTTTCTCTGTTACTATCTGTTATGATTATAGCTTAGCATTCAGTTTATCTCCCTTATAGAAATTAGTCTGTAGGTTGGTTGGTTTTGAGCAAGTTTATAGTGGAATTTTGATAGAAAGTGGCTATTGCTGTTTGCAAAAAGAAAATATCAAATGCATGAATACATTGGGCCTGAAGATGCCAATTCGAATGGTTCTTCTCCTTTTCCAGAAGTTGTTGAATTTTGGTTTTCCTTATTTACCTTTCCTTAATTTCCAAAAACTTTGTTAACTTGATTTCATTTTATCTTTATATTAATGTTTCTATAATTTTGCCAATTGTATTGAAGTTGGATGCTGTGTTGCTCTCTTGGTTTTATTCTTTCTCCCTAAACAACCCAAATAAGCCATCGTAATGGAAAGTTTGATCTGATTGGATGCGCGCTTGAAGCCTTGAAAGTTGACCCTATTTTGACCTTCTCTTTTCTTTTGTTGTTCTCCTCCCATCTCATATGTCTAACAGAATAAGTGCAAGTTGTATTCAAATTATTATCAGATTGATTTTATTCTCTTTTTCACAGTCATCCCTATATGTCTGTTAAGAGTAATGCAGTAGTAGTACCCAGACAGAATTGGTGCAGTAGTACAGAGGCTGGCATCCCTATATCTCTATTAAGTTTCTAATTTCATCATTGGCCATTTTTCTCGTAATTTATGGCTCAGTACACTTGTACTGTTGTACATGTTCCTCTTAGTAAGTTTATATTGTCACTATCCTTAATAACTCTTAAGCTACTTATTTAATGACTCTGAAATTTTAAACATAAACCAACTATAACTAGACAAACCAAACCCTATCATTGGACCCCATAGAAAAATTTTAAAATGAAAAAAAACCCTGCTGCCCAAAAATGCATAAATACATAAAAATTAAGAAAATTCCAATTTTGACTCTTCAATTGCTGCATCATTAGGTTTAGCCTGACATGCTTGTGATGTGAATTGGTAAAGCAAAGTTTCATGAAACCCAGATCATTTACATTACTTGAATTTTTTAAAGAATTAATTGGTGAAGAAATTAAAACATACGTTTAGAATATCTACCTGTGGAGGTGAAGCCCATTTTTATTGGGAGGATGTTCCAGATTTCCTGTTTTGATTTGATTAAGGATGTAGTAAGTAGTTCATGAACTTAATTAAATAAATTCCTATACAGTATTTTCTTTTGACAAATATGTGGGATATGTATTTCAATCTATGTTGATCAAAAAGAAAAATCTTGTAGAAATTATTACCAACCTCCCTATTTAATAGAAGAGAAATAACTATTATTATTGTTATTAATGTTGTTGTTGTGGTCACAGAATAATGATATTATCCAATACAAAAATAGATCATAATTAAATATTTAACACATTTGTCCTTCAGTTTCTATGCCCATGGAGTTGCTCGATGCCATGAGATTTTCTAGTGCTAAATATCTACTAGTAGTGGATTTGATTGGTTTAATCTTATAGTATTTGATGTCGGAATTCACCAATCTGTAATTCTTGTGAACCGGCAAGAGAGCCCATGCATCTGCACAAGTGCATTGGCATGAGGAACAAAGCACAAATATGAAGAATACTGTTAGTGTCGACTGTATAAGGGTAGTTTAGTCTTTCTATTTATGTTTAAGCTGATGTGTAATGTTTATGTTAAGTGATGTGTCCCATACTTAAGTAGGGACATAATAGTCTTTTGTTTTATTTAATAGAAACATATAAATATAACCTGGCCGACCAGAGAGATGGACTTTTCTCTCTTGTTTGAACTAGTTTTCTCCTTTCTTCTCTTCTCTTATTCTCTTTTCTATCTCTTCTAATCTTCCTCTAATACTATTTCTAACAGAATTCTAGTGCAGGTCTGAACTTTATCATGGTATCAAAGCCACTGTGACAAAATCAGATCTGCCCAGAATTCTATTCTATCACCATTCAGCCTAGGGTTTTACAGTTTTCTTCATCATCTGTTGGAGATAGGGAAAAGGGCTGAAAAGGAGTCATCGCCCTTTCCCTTTGGAGGTTTTCATGCCTCCTGTTAGTGGTTTAGTGGGTGTTTGTAGTGGTTTGGTTTTTGGTGATCAAATAGGTGGGCTATGTTAACAACTGTTATTTTTCCTATGTATAGTACCGCAGGGGTACTATTGTACTTTTACTCTTTTTTATTTTAGTTGCTGTCACCCTAGTATATATATTAAAAAAGTTGTGCCGCCAGCATCATCTTTTGCTCTCAGTTCTCTCTTCTCTCTTCTTCTCTTTTCTTCTCTCTCTTTTCTCTCTTCTTTCATTCTTCTCTCCTGCATAACATGGTATCAGAGTGGGACTATCAGATTTGAAAGGAGAAGTTGAGTGAACAGTTTTTTTCCTTCTTCGCACCAGATTTCCAGATCAGCCGCCCTCATCTATTGTTCGGCTGATTGAAGATCTCACACACTGAAGTAACTTTTCTCTCTCTCTCTTACCTTTTTTTTTCTGGTCGTGTGCCAGGGCAGAACCTGTACTAGGTCTGCCGATTGGATGTGAGGTGATCAACACCTCTTTCTTTCCTTTTTTGTG